TGTGGATTTAGGTAAGTTAGTAAAGTTTGCTGGCCAGACAGGCACAAAGACGTTCACTGAAGCGACTGTTTGTACTTTTGATAGTCTTTATACAAAATTAATGCTTAACTGAGATAAAGTTCATCAGCAAAAAGATAAAAAAGTGCTCCAATTTTTTTCTGGTCCAGTTTCTTGTGAATCTGCAGTTTTTCCTTCCACTTAACCTTCCATTATGTGTCCATTTAACCCCTTTAAGCAGCCAGCTGTTATAGAAATCCCTTTTTTTTGGCCTCCACCCTTTGTTGAGAATATAATTCACTGTAAGGTAAACATCTACCATGTCAGCAGTCTTCAGCGTGTTCAGTGTAAGCTAAAAATCCCTTTCTAACTGTCTTATGTAATGCTGTTATCTGTTAAGGAACTTAATTTGGTGGTTTTATGTTTATCAAATTCATACATTCATTTTTCTGCATTTCATTTATTGCATCTACACCTTTAAGTTTTGTGTTCTTTCCTGTTTCTCTATTATTATTTCCACTCACAAACAGAGGCAGTTGTTGCTTTCCTTTTACTATGTAGTCCATGTGTGAAGGGCATTTGAGAAGGCCACTCTGCATCCACAGGGAGAGTGTGTGTGTGTGTGAGCACTGAAGTGTGTTTTAGCATGTCCTTGTGTTAGCGCAGGGTGGATGCTGTTGCCAAGGGGATGCCATGGTTACGAGGTGCCAGCCAACCAGCTGACGGTTCCTCTCTAGAAGTGGCAGTGCCTTTGTCCTTCATTCGTAACGACAGGGCCGTGCAGCGATGCCTCGCAGTGCTGCTAACCGGACGAGACAACCGAAGCATTGGGACTGCAGGAAGGCTGGGAGGCCCCTGCCCATCGATCCCCTCTGCTCAGTGCGTGTTTAAGTGGAAGGAAAAAAAAAAAAAAGAAGCAGCAAGAAGCCCCTGGATGGAGTGGATCGGCTGGAGGCCATGAATTATATATGGACCCAATCTGTTCTCAGGGCAGCTCAAGCCCCAAACTCCTGACTCAACTCGCCACGCACGCTTTGCAACACAGATAAACATCCAGACGGTGGACCAGAATAAACCCAACACACACATGCTTGCAAACTAAAAGTACAGCTTTTAACATATTAAATCCAGAGAAAAGCTGCATCCCCCACCTCCCTTCAAACATCAAACAGCTCAGGATGGATGGATGAAGGAGAAGCCATTTATTTTGCCCATCTAATGAAAGCAGAGCGCTCTGCAGCGCTGCCAAGACTGCGAGCGACAAAGCGCCACAGGCAGCATCTTCCGTTCTTGACATTCAAGCGCTGCTCTTATTTATTTAGTAAATTTACTTACTAAGGAGGTCAGAAATGAATTATTTGGCAAGGATTTGCCTGGAAGCACTTTCCTCTCCTCTTCTCATTCCTCTTCCAACATTTTTTCCTCCCTTCAATTTCCTTTTTATTTATGGCTCTTTTTTTTTAACTCCTGCTTTACTAAGTGCTTATTTTTACTACAGCTTGCCTGTTCCCATTGCTTGAGGAACTTTTTTACAGAGTGTCGCCAGTAGCGTTGGGAAGTCGTTTGCGGAGCCAATTCCACCCTCTGAAGCTGCTGCCAAGAAAAAGCTTATACCTTTTAAGACTTTGT